AGAGGAATAAAGGATGACAGAGATGGCACTCACCACAGGAAGTAGAGAAAAGTGGCATGATTATGGGTGCTGGGGAGAAGATTCTGAGTAAGGAGTCAGGTAAGAAAACATGAGACATCAAGTAAAAGAGGTGACAGAATGAAAACGAAGAGTCCTAAATCTCAAGTAAAATAAACAAAGCGGAAGATCAGAGCATTTAGAAATGGCCCCATCTGCATGTACAGGAGCTCTTTAACCACCTTCAGAACTAAGTAAATGCATAGCAAAATAGAAAAGTACCAGGGCTTTATCGTTGAATTTAAATTAGATTTACTGTATATTATAGAAGTCCTGGAAAGAGGTAAAGAGAGTTTGGATTATGGTGAGACACATAGGAGAGCTGGGAAAATTTTGACTAAAGATATGTTTTCTAAAATAGAAGTAATAGAATAAATGAATAAATTAAGTTTACAAATAATACTGAGATTTTGCTGAGAAACATTTCAATTTGCTCATCATAGAAATTTTTTTCACTAGTTTTCCACTAGTTTGTTCTTGAGAAAGGAAGGAAGATCTCAGGACACTATTCAGAATGTAGGAGAGATGGAAAGAATGGGCACTGTCTCTGCCTGCTCTCACAAAGGTAGGTCTTAGCACTATCAATGCAGAAAGACCCAAAGAGGGCTGTTAATTGTCATGACCAAAAGAAAGCTTTTCTAGGAATGCCCAGTACCTTTGTCTTAGAGTTGGAGAAACAAAGGTCCAGAGAGAAAGACTCCTGTAAGCTAAAGAAACCTTGTAGCAACCTCAGAAGATGAGTTTGGCCCTGGTTCATCAGTTCAGATGGTTTCCATTAAACCATGCTTCTTTTACTGCAGAGATCCCATGGCTGTATCCTGGGTGTGCCTGAGGAAATCATCATATACCAAAGCTATACAATAACGAAGAGAGAATTTTGTTCCTGAAGATATTATTATTGCTCTCTGCACATATCAAAGCATCACACTGTGTCCCATGAATTTGCACAATTGCATCAATTTTATTGCATCAATTTAAAATTCTGTAAATAAAGCCAAAAGAAATCAAAGCTAATTTTTTTTACTATTGTCCAAAACTCTTCCCACTTAGCTCTGATGGGACTCGATTCTTCCAACCCTACTTTATTCTTTGCCTGGCCATCAACACATACCTGTACAAATACCATTATAAGAACATCTCCAACATGGGACAAGAGATTATAGTTGAGTCTATGCATCCTGTTGTCTCCCACATTTTAGTTACTGGTTACTTTACTGCAATTTTCCTGTTTGAAAACTGTTGATTTTCTTCCTCCGGTTAAATTCTCCCTCTCATTGCTCTGGGTATTTCCACGTGAAGTTCCATTTACCATTCAAGATAGTTTTCATCCATCTAATTTTCTTGAACCAATGTTGAGATTGTCATGCAGTTAGACAACCATGAAACAGAACTCTGTTCCTTGAGATGTTATTGGCACTCGATCTTTTTTTTAAATCATATGTAATACCATAGAGGAAAAGGTAGATAATTAACAGCACTAAAAAGTCACTTTGCTCCTGGGGAGTCCTGGGATTACCGCCATGAATTCATTTGGCCAAGGGAATTGTTTCTTAGGACCACAGAAATTTGGTCACCACAATCAAAGCAGAAAGACAATAATGGACATTTGAGGGGAGGAAGAAGAAAGATTTGGGGTGAAACTCAGATCTTTTTTTTTCTTTTTACCTACTTATTTTTCTCATTTATGATGGAAGAAACCCCATAAAAATGAAAGATAGAAAAAGCAGCCCTACTGTGCTAGCTGCCATGTGATCCATGTCTCCTAAGAAAAAATAACTAAGTTGGAGGGAATTGGAGATGTACAGCTGTCCAGGCAACAGTTATCTAGTTCTTTATAACGTGTATGATAAAGATAAACCAATTCTTACAGGAGCGGCACAAGGGGATGCACTCAAAACACTAGCAGAGATGAGATAAGGCAAGTCACTAACAATTTAACCCTCTTGCAATTTAAATCTTTTTCCTTTAGCAGCTGCCACAGACTAATTCTCCACCATCAAGAACTGCAGTCCTTTATTGGTGCCAGTTCATGCCCATCTTCTCTACTTCCTGTCCAGCTCCCTATTTGTGGCCTACGAAGGCAACTGAGGATGCCCCAAGTGTTTGGGACCCTACATTCACATGAGAGACCCAGAAGAAGTCCTGCCTTCCAGCTTCAAATCAACTCAGCACCAGCCATTAAATGAACCAGCGGATGGAAAATTTTTCTTTCTCTTCCTTTGTGTAAATCTGTCTTTCAAATAAAAACAAATAAATCTTTTTTTAATTTTTCCTTTAAGAGAAACAAAACAGAAAACTTGATTGCATTTTATTTCTCTAGCTCAAAAATACATCAATCGCCCCGGAGAGGTGGCCTAGTGGCTAAAGTTCTGCCTTGAATGAACTGGGATTCTACATGCTCACTGGATCTAATTCCGGCGGTCTAGCCTCCCATCCAGATCCCTGCCTGTGGCCTGGGAAAGCAGTCAAGGACAGTCCGAAGCCTTGGGACTTTGCACGCACGTGGGAAACCTAGAAAAGGCTCCAGGCTCCTGGCTTCAGATTGGCTCAGCTCCAACTATTGTAGCTGCTGGGGAAGATCTTCCTCTCTGTCTCTCTTCCTCTCTGTATATCTGACTTTCCAATAAAATAAATAAATCTTTGAAAAATATATCAATCAACTGATTTCTTTAATTTTTATTATTGAACTCTATTTAGTGGAGCATTAAGTCTTTGCTTACAAAGTTACCTTGCAAGGTTATCTGAAAAATTGATCCTAAATAAATGAAATGTTAGTGTATCGAGAGTCAATGAAAGGGTTATTGATAAATTCTATGCAGAGTATTTTTTGTCAGTTCACTATTGCTGTATAACAAAGCAGCTTAACTCAATAACATTTTACATACTCATAAATCTACAGTGTGAACTAAGTTCAGTTGGATAGTCCCAAATGGAGACCATTATGTTCAGTGAAATAAGACAGTCCTGGAAGGACAAATACCATATGTGCTTTCTGACATAGGGCAAACTTCATGCAAAACACAAAGCAAATAGGTATTTAGGTCTACACATATGTAAATATTTTCTCATAGACTATATAATGCAGTCTAGCACACAGGGAAGATATTATTTAACATAACTACCACAACTTGGTGACACTAAGAAAAATAATGGGAGAGTGACATTTAAAGCGTTCCACAAAGTAGCAATATCAAAAGAAGGATGTTGCTTAAATGTGGATGTTTTAGTAAGTGACATAAATAAAAGCCAAGATACGGAAGGAATGATAATGATAAATTTATGCAGTTATCAAACAATCTGGACTTGGTTCTAGAAAGTTCTTTTTAGGTTCCAGACAAAGAAAGAACTTGGAAACAACAAATAATCACATGAAACTGATGTCCACTTAGAAAGTAATCACCTGTGATGTTTCTTCTATCACTGAATTTATAAATAGAAAGGCAATGGAAACCCAGCCTCCCCACCAAAGCTTATCAGTGACCCACACAGGGTTCATACCTCTCAACTATGTGGAAAACATTTAAAATAAAATTTTAAATATATAATAATTAAAAATTTAAAGTTCATGGAAAGATGAAATTAAAAAGATGATGCAAAGGGCCAGTGTGGTAGCATGTAGGCTAATTCTCCACCTGTGGCACTGGCATCGCACTTGGGTGCCAGTTTGTGTCCTGGCTGTTGCTCAACTTCCCATCCAGCTCTCTGATGCTTATGGCCTGGGAAAACAGCAGAGGATGGCTCAAATCCTTGGGCCACTGCACCCATGTGAGAAACCCAGATGAAGCTCCTGACTCCCAGCTTCGAATCAGTCTTGCTTTGACTCTCATGACCATTTGGGAAGTGAGAAGAGCAAATGGAAGACTTTTGCCTGTCTCTCTGTAACTTTGACTTCCAACTAAAATAAAACTTCTTTAAAAACTAATAATGTGAGTTTAAAAAAAAGAAATCTACCAGTTTAATCAGTTAGTGGAAGACTCAAGGATCCAAGCCAGTAAGTCAGTATAAATATTTTAATTGTTTTTGAGTCAAAAATAAGGAAACCTGTTTCTTAATTACATGACATTTTAATATATTCATTTAATATTCAAAGAGTGTAAGAAGCAAGCACACACTAAAGGCAGAGCAAAAATTCAAACCAGTTTATATGATGGTATTTTAGTAAAAGGTTTGCGGACAGGACCTTAACCAATCCAAAATAAGGAAAATGAGACTGGCAGTGAGTCTAGCTAGCGTGGTCCACTCTCAAGCGTTTGAGTCGACGCCCAGCTCCAGCTTTTGAATTCAGCTTTCTGCTGATGCAAGTTCTAGGAGGCCGTGGTGATCACTCATTTAGTGGGTTCCTGCCATTCATGGGGAAAATCCAGAGTGAGTTCCAGCTTCTGACTTCAGCCATTGCAAGCACACAAAAATAAACCCAGGTGATTGAAGGGACCGCTAGCTCTCTCTCATTTTCTCTCTCTTTTTTTTTTCTCTCTCTCTCTCTCTCTCATGCACACATACATTTTCAAATTTTATACAACCAAACAGGGAAAATATAACACTGAAAAGAAATGACACTGCTGATTTGCAGGACTAAATTGTTTAATATTTTCTCCATTTGGCAACTTTACAGGCAGGAGACTATCAAAAGTGGTAAACTGGGTTAATATTAGAAATATTCTTATTTCTAGCACTTGTTAGTTTTTTTTTAGGTTAAAATACTGCACAGTTATCATGAACATTCAAGAATTTATGTTAAACATCTCCCATCACGGATTCTGAAATATAGAGGGCTCCAATGTTCATTCTTTTTATCCTTGTTGATTGGGATACTTGAGATGCACAATAGCGTGGTAGATGCCTAAATATAACCTAAAACACAAAACTAACAGAGATGTACAATTTTGGTGACTTTCAAATTTTCACTGAATGTCAATTCACGCTTTCATTTATCTTTAGATTATTTAGGACAACTTTCTATAATGCACAAGCTGATGGCAAAGTTTCTTCATTGCTGATTTCATCTCCATGTTTCTGAAAGTATAGATAACTGGATTCAGAAAAGGAGTGAGAACTGCATCAAAGATAGCAAGAAATTTGTCCAGGTGTGATGAGGGAAAGGGCCAGGTGTAGAAAAAGATCAATGGCCCAAAGAATAAAACCACCACAGTGACATGAGCTGACAAAGTAGAGAGAGCCTTGGACAAACCACCTGAGGAGTGTTTCCGAACAGTAACCAGAATAAAGACATAAGAAATAATTAATATGCAGAAGGACCCCACAGAGATGAGTCCACTGTTGGCTGTGACCATGAACTCTAATCTATTGGTCTCTGTACAAGCAAGTTTGATGAGCTGAGGGAGATCACAGTAAAAACTGTCCAATATATTTGGGCCACAAAAGGGTAAATCTACAATAAAAGCCAGCTGGGCCACTGAGTGGATGAGGCCAAGGGTCCAGGCAGCAATCAAAATGAAAATGCACATTCTTGGACTCATGATAGTCAAGTAGTGCAGAGGCTTACATATGGCTACATACCTGTCAAAGGCCATGGCTATCAGCAGCACCATTTCTGTGCCCCCAATAGCATGAATGAAGAAGATCTGAGTTATACAACCCCCAAAAGAAATCACTTTGTGCTCTCTGAAAAGATCATAGATCATTTTGGGGGCTGCAATAGAGCAAATCCCCAGATCAAGAAAGGAGAGGTTGGCCAGCAGGAAGTACATGGGAGAGTGCAAGTTAGAGTCAGAGGCCACAGAGAACACAATGAGGAGGTTGCCCATCAGACTCGCCATGTAGAACACACAGGAAAAGAGGAAAAGAAGAACTTGAATCTCCCACGAATTGGAGAGTCCCAAGAACACAAATTCAGATACTGTTGAGTTGTTGGCTCTGTCCATTGGCTGTGTGAGCGTTAACTGACTCTAACATGACCTGAAAAAGACAATAAAGAGAAAACCCAAGCCTTGAGTGAATCACTACCTGCATGAGTTTCAAACTGTGAAGAAAAAAAAAAGGGTGTGTGTGTGTGTGTGTGTGTGTGTGTATATATAACCTTATATCATAAAACCAAGCCTCCTCTACTTAACCTCTAAATTGTCCTTGCAGGAAACAGGTCATAATTTATAACTACAAAACATTGCTTCTAATTCCCCAGACTAGCTAAAGTCTACCAGGTATTGATAAATAAAGATCAGATAAAAAGAAATGCTGCACCAGATCAAGGGCCATGAGAGAGCTAGGAATTCCCTGAAATAATATCAAGATTGTTTTCTCTCTCTCAGTTTGTTACTCCTGCCTAAGGTGTTCCCTAAACATCCCTATCACTCCCTCATTATTATACATTCAGGTTTAGTTTTCTGTTACTATACTTTGATCAAACCATATCAACGGCTTTTTTCTGATAAGAAGAGAATATGGAAATCCTGTCCACTTTTGCAGCCCATCAGGCAAAGAAATGTCCACAGCTGAGCATATGGCAGAGTTAGGAGAGATTTGTGTTGCAGAAATTTAACATGGATAAAGTTAATGCAAATTAACAAATAAAATTCCATGTGATTGATACCAATATTATTATTATTATATTATAATAATTATTATATTATAATATATTATAATATTATTATATTATTATAATTATTATATTGTATATAATATAATATTATTATATTATATTATTATATTAACTCTTCATGGCTTGTAGATTATAACTTTCTTCCTGAAATCAGAAGGAGGGAATTCAAATCTACCCTGAGTCCATGAAAGCTTAAGTCTTCTCTCCCACCCACTCCATTCTTGACTCTTTTCTTGAATTCAGTTTAATCATTTTTTAAATAGACTGAAGAAGATGATGTTAAGTGATCCTTCCAAGTCCAGCACTTCTATTATTCTATAAGACAAGGCTATTCCAGTATGTAATGAAGTTCACAATCATGATAATACCCTCTGCACAGGATTACAACCATCTTCACAACCTTGTCCCTTGTTTGGATGGTTGTCAATATCATTACTCTTCATTTTAATTTCCCTCTTCCATATTCATTTTACAACTCAGTGTATTACTATAAGTTTGTTGAATTATTTATTTTGGCCTTTACCAGATGCCTACATAGCAGACTCTGGACTTATCAAGGTATCAAAGCATTCACAACCCTTATGCATTTTAGATTGTAGTCCATACAAAAAAAATGTAAATAATGAAAGATGCACCACATAAAAATGTTGAATAAACAGTAGAGCATTAGATTTCTGAAGCAAAAGAAATATCCATAAACACGATGCCATGCAGTAGTGGTGAGAGCTACCATCAGAGCTGATGCAGCAATTTAATAGTTGCATCTAATTTGATTCAATTTACAGCTTCATGTCAGAGCTTAAAGAACTTCTGAAATACTCAGGAAATATCTACAAGTTTGGAGTAGTAGTTGATAAGCTATCAATGAAAATATTGACAGCCAAAATGAAACAGAGTGGCTATCTGTGCAAGAAACCACAATTACTTCTTTACACACACTATCTTAACTGATACCTATGAAGTTTCTATTTTTGACTTGTTTTTACATTTAGTCAAAATGGAATTCAACAGAGCAGGGGGGAAACAAATAGGAAAAGTAAATGACAGAACTGACACCGGTGGTCTGGTCTGCCTCTTACCCAGTCTGTAGAAAATACTCTGCTCTTTTCTCCCGACTTTCCAATTGTGTTACACACTTCAGTTTCTTTCTGGGTGCCTCAGCACCCTCGGGACATCTAAGAGAGAGAGGAGAAAGCAGCTTTGTCTTCAAGTATTCACATGTACCTGGGCTTCTTAACATACTCTAAATACATCTGTAATTCATCTGGCTTCCTAAGTAAACATGGTAGGAAAAGACAAATCCATGAAATACCTGCAGCTCAAAGCACCCCAGTTGAGTTCCCAGACATTCATTGTCTTGATCCACATGAAATCCTCAGTTCTCACTATTCTAATGAGCAGAAAAGACAAAGGTGCTCTGTCTTCACATCAAGAATGAAGAAAAGGCCAGTCCTGAAGCAAGACAGACTCTATCCCCACCCACAGGACCACCTCTTAACTACTGTAATTCCCTGTGTTGGATCTTAATCTTGCATAGTAATGAGGGGTTTTTTTTTTTTTAAGAAAGGAAATCTCAATTCTCCATTTTAAGTCCTATTCCTTTTCATTTGTATTGGTTATTTCTCATTATGCTCAGCCGAAGCTGCTTCAAAGCAACGTTCAATTGATTCCTTTTGGCAGCCATACTGTCAACACATCCATCTGCTCAACACTGGCGCTTGGAGACTTCAACTTTGTACACCAATATCCCTAAGCTGTTTCTGTATTTGCAATCAACTCACTCCAATGCCAAAGCTGTGAGTAGACTTAATTATATCCACCCTTCCTCCAAGTGTGATTACTATTACTTCAAGCACAAACAAGCATAAAAATGCTGTTATGGCGAGAGTCGGACCTAACTGGCACACAGGGGAGTGCTGACCAAATGATTCCTCAGAGAAATAGAATATCAATATGATTTAATTCATCAGGGGAAATTGCCACCCAGGATCTTAGACAACCAACAAAAGAAGCTAAAACTGCATCACAAAAGATAAGAGAACAAAAAGGTATGAATGTAAAATATGTAGATCATAGTAATAACATAGAACTGAAGCCAGAACAGAATCCATGCCTTCTTTCCAACCACCCACAGAGATTATTTATGTGACTAAACATTGTACCACAGTGAATTACACAAAACTGGGAGTCATATAGATGCACTCTAACAAAAATCTAAGAAAACTTCAATAATAAAGCCCCCAAAAATTAGAAACCTAAAGAAATTACATGATCATAGGTATGCTACACAATGTATTATTCATATTATATAATTCCATATATTAAAATGCCAAAAATTACAAAGATTTTTGTGAAAATTGAAGAAACCTGGGCCACTGTTATGGTGTAGCAGGTAAAGCTTCAACTTGTGATGATGGCATCCCATAGAGCTGCCAGTTCAAGTCTCATCTGCTCCTTTTCTGTTCCAGCGCTCCACTAACATGCCTGGAAAAGCAGAAGACAGACCAGGTTCTCACCTACATGGGAGACCCAGAAGAAACTCTGGACTCCTGGCCTCAGCCCAGCTCCAGCCATTGTAGCCATCTGAGGAGTAAACCAGTAGATGAAAGATCTCTCTCCATATGTCTCCTCCTCTCTCTACAAATCTGCCCATCAAATAAAATCTCCAAAAAAATGTAATAATATGATTAAGTGTTCAATAACAGAAAGATATCCGCATTATATCAATATGGTTGAAAAGCAAGATATAAAGCCATATTAACATATAATTATATTTCATAACATAGGATTTATACATAGAAAAACGGCATTTATACAAAATTGTAAAATCTGCTTTTAATTTGGAAATTTTAGCAGTGATTATCCTTTATGAAGGAATTTTTGGTAACTTTCATGTTTTATCTCATTCTCATATATTATGATGATCATCTGCCTATATGTATAGAAATACATCAAAACATTATTGTATGCAGTATTTATGCTTAATATGTTTTCTATATTAATCATATATGTTGAGCACTTCAATAAATCTAGAGGAAACGTATCTGTTGAAACATAATGTTTGATCTTTGGTCTGACTTGCTCTCAAGACAATGGGATTCTAACCACACTGATCTAAACTCCATCCTCCTATTAACAGGAAAGCACAGGCAGACATTTGGCCAAGCAGTTAAGATGACACATTCCATGTCAGAATGACTGCTTCTGATTCCAGCTTCTTGCAGACACACAGTGTGGAAGGCAGAAGGTGATGGTTCAAGTACTTGGTTCCCTGCCACCCATGTGGGAGACCTGGATTGATTCCCAGCCTCCTAACTTTAGCCTTGTAGGACCCTGACTATTGGAGACATTTGCAAATAAACTGTTAAATAAAAGGTATCTCCTATCTCTCCCTTTCTCTCCCTGCTACCTCATTTATCTATTACCCTCATTTATCTATTGGCTTTCAAGTATGAACAAAAATAAATAAGTGAATTTTATTACATTTTATTAATATAAATAGAACAAATATAAAGAAGTTCATGAATACAATTTTAAGAATAACTATACTTCCTTTCCTTCCTTACCCCTCTTCCTCCCCTCCTCCGCCTCTAACTTTGGACATAACATGTATGTAAGTTACTTTATAGTCAAAGGCTTAACTGTCGCTAAATTAAAAAGTTCAACAACCAAAAAACGAAAGACTACTGTTCATCAGGAATATACACAATGGTTACAAACATTCACCAAATCCAAAGATAAGACAACTTCATTCATTAGCAGTAAAATTAAAATTACATTAAATACCACAAATAAAAGAAAACATGATCTTTATCTTTAGGGGTCAGGCTTATTTCACTAATAATTATCTCAAACTGCATACTTTCGTGGCTGAAGTCCAGATTTCAATCTTTTGTATGGTTGAGTTATATTCCATTGTGTACATATGCCACATTTTCTTTATCCAGGAATCAGCTGATGGACAGCAAGATTGTTCCAATGTCCTGACCATTGAATTGCTGTTAACATGGTAACGCCGGTAATTCTCTCACATGCTAATTCCATTTACTTTGAGTATATTCCTGGGAATGGGATAGCTGGTCATACAGAAGATTTGTTTTCAGTTTTCAAGGAATCTGCATAGCATCTTTCACTTGGTTATAGTAGCAGCTAATCTTCCCACCCCGGTGTGTTAGCACAGCTTTTCTCTACATTTCCCTGGCATTTACTATTCTTCCAGATTGAGAAGTGATAGCCATTCTAAGGTAAATGAACTATTAAAAGGGAGATGTCTGTCTCTTCTCCCTATCCCTCTCTCCCACTCCATTTATCCATCTCTGCCTCTAA